AACAGGCATCAGTGAGGTTATGGAAAAACTAGAACCCTCCTCATTCACTGCTGGTGGGAATGTAAAATAGAACAGCCACTGTGGAAAACAGTTTGGCGTTTCCTCAAAAAGCTGAACATAGAACTACCATGTGACCCAGCAACATCAATTCTAGATATATATATACCCAGAAGGGAAAGTACGAATGCAAACAGAAACCTGTAAATCAATGTTCATTGCAGCAATATTAAAAAGGAGGAAACAACTAAAATGTCCATCAACAGATGAAGAGATAAACAAAACGTGGTACATACATACAATGGAATACTACTCAGCCATGAAGAGAAATGAAGTTCTGATGCATGACACAACATGAGGAACCTTAAAAACATTACACTGAGTGAAAAAAAAGTCAGTCACAAAAAGACAAACACTGTATGACCCCGTTTATACGAAATAATACATAGAAACCAGAAATTATTAGTGGATACCACAGGTGGGAGGGAGGGGAGAGGGGTAGTCTTTGCTTAGGGGGCACTGAGTGTATGTTAACAGCAGAATGATTTGGAAAAAGAGGGAGAGAATGGTTAACAATTTGAAGAATGTAATCAATGTTACTGAGCTGTACATGTAGAAATTGTTGAGTTAGCCTATGTTTAGCAATGTATATATTCACAATTAAAATAAAAATAAAAAAGGAAACCAGAAATCAAATACTTATTTGCACAAAGATACATCTCAACTTTCTAAGTATTTTTACTGAAATAGAATATACAAACCATTTTTTACAAGTAATACATTAAAGTAATTCATACACATTTCACATAAGGTAATTCATAGTCTATAAAATCATCTTTTCCAAATTATAATAGTATAAAAATAAGCAATGTTTCAAAACACCTCCAATCATAACTTTGTCCCCAGATTATAACATAAAAAAGTATAATTGTGTTTAAATTTTAAATACTTCAGGACCTAAAAAAATCTTAATTTTATTAAATAGATGGAGAAATAAAATTATCAAGTCTTCTATTTCAGATAAAAATCTGCACTAATTACCTACACCAAGGACAATAACTCTAAAACATATTTCATCTTTCTAAGTACTTTCTCATTACCTCTGGCTTCTAGGTCTGGTAATTGAGCTAACTTTTACATAAAATTATTTCTATACTAAGTACCACCTCTTTGGGAGGATGTGCACATGTTGCTGTTCTTGTTAGATGCCTTCAAGTCAGTTCCGACTCATAGCAACCCTGTGTATAACAAAATGAAACACTGCCTGGTCCTGTGCCACCCTCACAATCGTTGTTATGCTTGAGCCCACTGTTGCAGCCACTGTGTCAATCCATCTCGCTGTGGGTCCTCCTTTTTCTCTGACCACCTACTTTACCAACGTGATGTCCTTCTCCAGGGACCGGTCCCTCCTGATAACATGTCCAAAGTTAAGTGAGATGAAGTCTCGCCATCCTTGCTTCTAAGCAGCATTCTGGCTTTTTACACACAGCCGCCGATTACTCACTAAAGCAGATAAAATTTACAATGCTGCAACTTGTTCAAAATGATGAACTCTTATGTAAAAATATAAATCACAGCATGTTACTGACATGTGGTAACTTCACCTTTAATTTACTAGTCAAAGGACATTAATAATATAAAACTTTAATACAGGAAAAATATTGGGGAGCAAAACAAATTTTTACAAGGATTTACAGTCTACCTGAATGACAATGAAGAACTGCAAACTAAATATACGTACCTGGTTCCACATAGCTACTGTTGCCTAATCTCTAATACTAATTTGAATATGAAGACCCACTTTAGGTTATACTAGTCGAACCTTTACTTTATACTGTATCCTGTTTTTGTTTTTTTGCCATTATCAGACATTTCATGTTACACTAATGAAGAGAACTAGCATTTTCAATATCCTATCTGCATTCTTTCTACTCAGGTGTTACAAAACAGGCATTTTAAATGCAGTTGCCTCATCTAATGCAAGGGAAATTCCTCCCAGCCATGCCACTGGTGCCTGCCTGCTGGCACCCAGCAGTTAGTAGTTTAAGGGGACCATCCTGGATGGATGCAAATACTTTGTTCAAGTTCCACAAATGTCTCCAAATCCCAATCAATCAGTTATGTACCCTTTTTACTGTATGTACTTTTCCCTATATTTACAGTTTAGCGGATCTAGACGGCTAGGGAAATGCAAAAGGACCCTCGCTGGGATTGAGTTTTCCTTTTCTGACAACCCGGTGCCCGTTACCCATTGCTGTCGAGTTGATTCCAACTCATAGTGACGCTACAGGACAAAGTAGATAGGGTTTCCTCGGCTGTAATTTTTGCAGAAGCAGACTACCACATCTTTCTCCCATGGGTTCAAATCGCCCGTCTTTTGGTTAGCAGCCGAGTGCTTAACCACTGTGCCACCAGGGCTCCTTTTTTCTGACAAAGTGGAATTAAAAGGTAAGAAAATCTAATAGTATTTCAGCTTGGTACTGTTGGCATTCCCAATTTTTAAGATTGTAAACTCACAGTAGTAACTATTGTGACCATTTAAATAAAGCATTCTGAACAACTACATGCTATATAAAATCACATCCTCGGAATTTTAGTTTGTCTGAAATTAATGCTTATTTAATGCTGCCAAAAATCAAGCAGGTAATGAAAACTACACATTTTGAATGTGCCTCCACTAGGAAGCAATGTAGTGAAGAGCTCCCATAAGGCCAATCACTTAGAAAACTTAGTGTGTGGGCATATCATAGCCTATTTATCTGATACACTCTGTCTCCATAAAACTGTCATGGATTCAAACTGTGCTTGGATATAACTTTTTAAATGTTGCTTTATAAATTTGAGTCTGAAAAAAATGTTTTTAAGAGTTTAGACGCTCAACCCTAAAAGCAAAAATGAACACATGGCTTATGCAATATCGCTGTTAGTACTACTCTATATAAAGCACTAAACTCTCATATAGGAACCCTGGTGGCGCAGTGATTAAGACCTTGGCTGCTAACCAAAAGGCTGGCGTTCGAAGCCAACAGCCACTCCTTAGAAACCCTATGGGGCAGTTCTAATCTGTCCTATAGGGTAGTTATGAGTCGGAACCAACTCAACGGCACCGAACAAGAAGCGCACATAGTGACTGGCACTGCAAACGGTCTCTTGAATTACAGAACTTAAAGAATCACAAAATGTTAGAGCTGAGAGGAACCTTGGAAGATATTGAGTTTAGTTCCTCACTTTACTGTTGAAGGTAAAGAAGGGGGTGCAGACTGACCAAGGGGATCAGCACCAAGGTGTGCTGGGCTGATACTTCACCTACATCATCTCATCTCTCCCAGTCTCAAGGTAGGTAGCATTAACCTCCGTGTTACAGTGAAGAAAATGCAGGCAATCCAGATTAAGTAATTTCCCCAAATAAATTCATTAACAGGGAACAGAGGGAACCCAACTTCACAGTTAATGCTCTTTCCTCATAGCAGGGACACTCAAAGTGTAGTGCCAGCAACATCAACATTACCTGAATGCTTGTTAGGAAAGTTCCTATTCCTGGACCCCTACCCAGACCTACTGAATCAGAAACTGTGGGGTGGAGCAAGCAATCTGTGGCTTCACAAGCTCTCCAGGTGATTCTCGTGCACGCACAAGATTGAAAACCACTGATCTATCTACAGCATGTTATCACTCTGAAACCTTACTCAAAGCATGCATATTAAAGTATATATAATTTTACTCTAAGCTACGACAAAGGTTAAAAAAAACTTAGTATATGTTATCCCAGATTAATTAAGACAGCCTTCAACAAAATTTTGCTTTAAATGTTACAATGTCTGACTGACACTGGATTTTTCATAAGAAAAAAAATGTGAAAGACATTCCAAATAAGTAAATACTGGTAGTAAGACTAAAGAATTGTTTTCACCTAGTGTCATAAATAAGGCTCTTGGAATGGAACTCTTCCTACCTGCCTTGCAAAAACCCACTGAAATTAATGGATACTCTTGCATGACTGACTTTAGTGTTACCTGTGATAATTACAACGATGCAAGTTTTAATCCAAGTAGAGAAATACTGAACAGTTGGCACACATGGATCTTTTGGACCACTTCTAAATTAAAGTTAATAAAAGAAAGAAATCACATTTAAAATTAAAAACTAAAACTTTCATGGAGTGACTTATTAAAATTTTCAGTTTTGAAGTTTTACTTTTCTAAGTTTAAAGACATCACAAAGGAAATGTTGTCTCTGAGCGCTTCTCCACCCCAAGCCCCCAACTCACAAACAAGGTCACATTCACGCCATCTCATGTTCAAAATGTTCTCTCATTAGAGAGGTTGCCATTTCACATTAGCGAACACCGACCCCAACAGCACTACTTTTCATTATGTAATTTTTTTCTTAAATATGTCAATGATTTCATTTAACATTCTAACAGTCAATGCATATTAGAGAACTTTATAAAAAAACACTGCTCTTTAAAGTGCAATGACATTAAAATGATGCTTAGTTTTTAAGATATATAAATCACAATTCTTTTTAGATAAACAGGAAGTCTAAGTAAATAAAAGTTAAAGATTTCAACTGTCATGCAATCTTTACCGCAGATGACAAAACAAAAAAGGCTTCATATTAATAGAATAGCAAACTCCCAATGGTCATTATTTGCTTTTAATTTATAATGAACTCATCCTCTGTTCCCAGTTTATTAAAGGTCGCTAAGATTTAAAGGGAAACTTTATTACTTCTTGTACAGGAAAACGAGGATACTATAAAAAGAAACTGTGGAGTTCAAAATCTCACGTCCATGTAAAAAATAATGCCACAATTTATCTGAATGAAAGTTTTGGTACAACATGATAGATACATTACAATAGAATACTGACTTCAAATTCTGTAAAGTGCTCATAAATGCCATTATCGCCATAAAAATCAGTACACAATGTTAGCTATAAAAGTTAAACCTGCAGATGGCACACAGACTATTCATCTCATTTCTGTGACTTCTTCCTAAATTATTTAGTAATAAATATTTCAAAAGGAGAGTACAGAGAAATGAAGCAGGATTATAACAAAACCAGAATTGCCTAAAATGAAAATAACGTTTCAATATTTGCTAATATGATTCTGGAAAAAAAACATTTTCTAATTAATTCATCCTTTATCCTCCTTTAAAGATATTTTTTCTTCAGCCAGCACATGGAGGATTAATGCTACAGACATTACCACAGCGCTTGATGGAAAAACTTGGCTTCCAGAGGAGTTGGACCTTGCATCCCAAGTTGGCTCTGCACAATTGATTTTATAGTGGTCATTAACATTCTTCCTGAAACAAGCCTGTGCACCTTTGAGAACATTCGCATTTAACCTTGTGAGTTCACTTCTACAGAAACAATGAACTTTGTTTTTCAGCTGCCGGAGAGGAAAATCAGTTTAATGGAAGAAATTAATTAAGTCCAGCTGACTGCAGCCAGGATCTCAATAAAAAAATAAAAATGTATTTAAGGGGGTTAAGTATAGGCGCGTTACATACACCTAATGGTTCTGAGCTTCAAAAAGTATTCACCTAAGCACTTTTAAGGCTGTCTCATTGTCCAGTTTTATTTTAGTTGAGATTCTGATGTTCATCTAACAAAGTCTTTCTGACAAAATAGCAGACTTCCTTCAATTAAGGTCATATTTTGAAACATTATACAATAATGAGATTTAAATTATGTATGGGAAGAAAAGTAGAAGGCTGAAAACAAGGTATTAGAAATCCCTGCTTGTTTTTTTAGGTTCTGAAAAATAGAATCACGGGCGAACCCTGTTCTAATAGCAAGGAAGGACAGCAGCAGTCCCTGGAATGTAATCTCTCCCTGGTATTTCCAAATGCCTGCAATGTGGCTGCTGTGATCATGGGGCCTTGATACCTAGATTTCTGGGTAATCCACAGAACGGAAATAACCCACCACAACTTTGTTTCTTGAGAAGATAAACCCTTAACTACAAAGGAGGAGAAAGGAAGATCACAATTGCTCACTTGCATAACTGCAGTATTCAAACATAATAATCGTTCAGATAAATAGACCTGAGAGAGAAGATAATAAGCAGGTGAGCAAAACAGCAGCAATTCATATCTTCAATCAACTAATTTAACGGTGCCTCTTTTAAAAGAGGTTGTTCTTTGACAGAGCAGCCACCTAGTGGAAAAATATCTGCTCAAGATCTATCAAGCTTAGCTAACCAAGCCTTACTACGTCCAGAATCTTGAGTAACAACACATGATCTGTATGAAGATGTGAACACTGAGCACATGAACAGCCCAAAAACTCTAAGTTCATTCTCTTTGGGATAACATTACTTACAGAATACTTTAAATTTTGAGTTTCACCTCCAACGTTTCCGTTACTTTAGCTTGTAAAGTGATGAAGCAAAATCAGAAAGAAAAGGTGTCTAGGTAATGAACTTCAACCAAAATTAGTCTTTCAGCAACTGAAGTGTTACTTCATTAAATCCTTTTTAAAAGAAAATTCCTTGGAAGTCCACATTCTTTACATGCCTTTGCCTTGTCAAGCTATACAAGCAAATAGTACAATAAAATGAACATTATTTTTAGTTTAACAAGAATTCTTGGTGGCACCAAATGAGTGGACAGTTGTCTTTTTTAATTCAATATCATATTAAATTTATATAATATGAAAGTTCTCAGGACTAAGCAGGAAGATGGCTAAACTTCATTTTGGACTCATGGTAACACCAAAGCAATTTAAAAAATGTGACAGGACAAAATGAAGCAAAACACTGCAAAAGGAATTTTAAAAAAGCAGATTCACTGACAGATTTTAAAGAGAACTACATTATTCTCACAAAGCTTGAAAAGGAAATGGGTTTTGTTTAATCAAAAGGCTGGATGAATCCTGAGACCTATGTTCATCCGCTGAGGTACGTACAGAAGAAAGCCCAGGAGCAGTGGTACAATAAGTACACACACGACTGAAGCTTAAGAGTTACAATTAGGAATACTGTTTAAATTAATCTTAGCAGAAGAAAAATTCAAATATAATTTTTAAAGTAGAATTCTTTCTTGCCCTTCTTCTTTGGTATTTTAACCATTAAAAATTTATTTAGGAAAATTAGAATTAGTTAAAGAAGATTCCAGTTCTAGAGTAATTTGGCACATTTCTATGTACAAAAAATTTAAAAAAAAAACACCTAGAAACCACTTGGTACATCTATAATACACAAATACATATATATAAACATTTTTAAACATTTTATTTTAATAATATTCTTTATCACTTCAGTTTAAATCATTCCATTATGAAAATTTCTTAATTGAAGAGTGAATATTTTTCAAAACTCTAAATTAAGCAGAGCTTTATCAATTAAATTTACAGCAATATAGCCTTTAGAAATACATAATTCTTCATTTTACAATAATACTTGCCATATAAAATTTGTCATGGTTTGTCACAGATTCAAAATACAAGGCAACTAATGCTATGAAAGAATAATATAGTATATGCAGTGTAAGTGACCCAGATCTTTTCCCAAATATTTATTCTTTTTAAAGCCCCACCAATTTACATGAACTCACTTGTTGCATAAATTACACATTCTTTTCTGCATTGTTAATTTGCAATATTCTACAAAACTCAGAAATGTAATCCGTACCTATTTTTGGCAGCTTACTTTAGCATTATACCTGTAAAAGAAACACTGGTCTATATGCTTAAATGATTTCCGGACAATGTTTTTATAATATAGTCCAGCATTTAACAAATATGTGAGAATAAAGTCTCTAGCACATTAGGATTTTATTCCTTGGTTAGTTCAAATTTTCTCCTCAGCTGAATTCCTTGAGATATATAAGGCAGGCTGGCCCTTTAGATGGACTGTGGACTGGAACTTCTTACAGCTGTAGTGACATGTCTATGACTACACAGCAAAGTACTTCATTATGAAAATGAAGAAAACAGGAGGAAAGTATATTTTAGAGTTTCAAAGAACTGAAACTGTTATTTTTCAGACTAGGCACTGAAACATTTTTCTATGAAAACTTGCCAGAGATTGTCTCTTCGCTGTATAACGTTCCATTACAAGCTAAAAATAAAAGCACACACAAAAATCATCATTATAGTTTTCAAAATTTTAACTTTCTATATTTTATATTTTAAAAAGCAAATTATCTTAACATTGACATATATATCACATGCAATATATATACTTACTAACTGTACTTGAACTGGAGGTGAGGACTAACAACTCAAGAGAGTTCTAAGGCAATCTCAAAGGCTGACATCACTACTACCTGAAGACTGCATGACGGCGGTTAGTTTTATTTCTGTATATTCCAGCATCACCCTGGTTGAGACAGACTCCTGCCTAGCCTGTTCTGTTCTACTCTACTTTATTGTGATTCATCTTCTGTATTTTCCATTACCTCCCTTTTATCTAGCTTTCACTTCTAACAACACTGAAATCTTGCCTGGGGGGAGGTAGTTATGAGTGAGTATGGGAATAATGCACGGTATACACACATGGAGCAAAAGTGCATAAATTCCACCATTAAAAAAACTTTAAATAACTCTGTGTGTGTTCTTAGTTATCTAGTGCTGCTATAACAGAAATACCACAAGTGAGTGGCTTTAACAAACAGAAATTTATTTTCTTACAGTTTAGGAGGCTATAAATCCATACTTAGGGTGTGGCTCTAGGGGAAAGCTTTCTGTCAGCTTTGGTAGAAGGTCCTTGACTCTTTGAGCTTCTGCTCCAGGGTGATTTACATGTGGCCTGGCATCTCTCCCCCTGCCCCCATCTCTGCTTGCTAGCTTGCATTTAATCTCTTTTATATCTCAAAACAGACTGACTCAAGATACACCCTGAACTAATCCTGTCTCATTAACACAACAAAGGCAATTCATTCCCAAATGGGATTATAACCACAGGCATAGAGATTAGCATTTATAACACATATTTTTGGGGGACACAATGCAATCCATAACAGTGTGTTTAATTTAAAGATGGCAAACAAACACATTGCTGGTAGGAATGCAAAATGGTATAAGCCATTGTGGAAAACAGAGTGGTGGTTCCTCAAAAAACTAAAAATAGAACTACTATATGACCTAGCAATTCCACTCCTAGGTACAGACCCAAAAGACCTGAAAGCAGAAACTCAGAGACTTGTGTACACCAATGTTCATTGCAGCACTATTCACAATATCCAAAAGGTGGAAACAACCTAAATGCCCATCAACAGATGAATAGATAAACAAAATGTGGTATATACATACAGTGGAATACTACTCAGCCAGAAGAAATGAAGTCTTGATACATGCTACAGTATGGATGGAGCTTTAAGACCTTATGCTGAGTGATATAAGCCAATCACAATAAGACAAATATTGTATGACCTCACTTATATAAAAAGACCAGAAAAGGCAAATGTATAGAGAACAAAGCTTATTAGTGGTTACCAGAGGCAGGAGGAAAGGGAAAAGGGGGCGTTAACAGTGATAGAAAAATCACATTAAGGGCAGGGTTGAATAGTCGATTATTGTAATTGCTGTCCATAAGTTGTACACCTGTAAAAAGTTTAATTGGCAAAGTGTGACGGATATATTTACAATGACAAAAAAATAAGACGTAGCTGCTGAGGCTGCTTATGTACAATCAAAAACCTCATGTGATTTGGTTCCTTGATTTGGAGGTTTAGCGTTATGGTTTCATGGAACATTCCAGTCAATTGGCCTAATAAACATGTTTAGTGCTTCTGTTCTACCTCCTAGTTTGTTGCACAGTGCTTGGAGTCTTAAAAACTTTCAAGCAGCCATCCAAGGCAAGACAACTGGTCTTAACGCCTGGAGCAAAGAAGGAAGAAGAGGAGTCAGGAATAGGAGAAGGATCTGGAACATATAGTTAATTGCCTCCATGAACAACTGCCTCCTTTATCATGAGACCAGAAGAACTGGATGGTGCCTGACTACCATTACTGAACATTTTGATTAAAGATTCGAAAGAAGAATCTTTCATCAAAAAGGAGAAAACATAGAACAGAATTTCAAATTCTCATAGATTCCAGATCTTCTGGAGCCATGGAGGCTGAATGAACCCCTGAAACTATTGCCCTGAGATAATCTTTAAACCTTAAACCAAAAACATCCCCTGAAGTCTTCTTAAAACCAAACAACAGTTTAGCTTAACTAGTAAAGAATATCTGCTTTGAGTATCACTGTATTTTACACAAATAACCCACACCTTTTGTTTGTCAACCGCACCCTCCCCCCATGAGGTATTTTCATAAGCACCACTATGCCAATTTTTTCACATGTTGCTATAAAAAAATTAGCATAGTGCTACCTCATGGGGGGAGGGTGCAGCTGGCAAACAAATGTAGAAGGTGCACGTTATGTGCGTAAAAATACGATGTGCTCTTTTAAGAACTCTCTATATGGGATCAAAGTGACAATAGCAACTCAAAAGATTACATATAGGAAGCTTAGGGGACAGTGACTTTATGTTAATGTGGGAGGAACAACTCAGAAAAGGAAGATGAGAACAGTTGCACAATCTGAAGAAGTAATCAATGTCACTAAACGTTACATGTAGAAACTGTTCAACTGGTATATGTTTTGCTGTGTCTATTCTCAATAACAACAAAATAAAAAAAAAACACAAATTTATCTCCCATGCACCCTTCCTTAGGAAGCTACCAGAGGACAGCTACAACAAAACAGTGTAAATCAATAAAGACAAGACACAGGATCTAGAAAACCATGGATCTACTACACAAGACAGAGGCAAAGAATGATGGTGAAGGGAGATCTTAAGATAACAGCTATGAAGCAGCTTGGAGAACAACTAGTCCACTTTGGAGCAGGTCAGAAACCTCCAGGAAACCTTCCTTCAGGAAAATGAAACTAGACTTACTACCTTATGCGTGTTAATGTTCTGAGAGTATAGACTGGATACGTAACAAAATATTAGTTTTTTTTTAACCTAAATTACTTGTATAATCAGAGAGAAAAGTTTTTTTCTAAGGTACAATATTAAATAAAATTATCATCCTTAGCATGAATAAAAGTAATAGCTAAAACTTACTGACCATTTAGTATGAACCTGACACTACTGTACGTACCCTAAACTTATTAAAGACGTCTAACAATCTTATGAGGGAGGTTCTACTCTAACCTCTATTTTACAAATAAGAAAACTGAGGCCCAGAGATCAGCCTTGCACAAGGTCACACAACTAATACAGGAGAAGCTGAAATTGGAACCCAGGCTGTTTGACTCTAGAGGCTATGTACTTACCCTCTAGGCTGTGTTGCTTCCCAAACAACTAATTATGGAAAATCAACTCTGTATTTGAATATTAGAAGAGTAAGAACCTTATTCAACACTAATGCCAGCTCACATACAAACCTGGGCTATGGACAACAGCTAACTAGCTCCATCCTCCTGAGAAACACTGTGCATAGGAATGAGACTCTCACATTGTTCACTGTCTTCTGGAATTCTTTAAAAAAAAAAAAAAGGTTATGGAATGCTTTAGAGCTGAAACGGATCCTTAAAGACTACTATTTTACTGGCTGAAGCTAGTGAGGTCAGAACGGGAGTTAGTGGCAGAATCAAGACTAGGGCAAGATCTTCTAATAACATGTCTTAGATTCTTTTGAAAGTGTAAAAAGTTTCCTCTCTTAAAAAGCACTTATAAGAAGAAAATTTCAGGCTATGCTCTCATATTTTACTATGAATTATGTTCAAACCAATAAGAATTTTCTAAAATTAAATCCATTACAGCAAAACAACAATTAAGCACTTGGGTTTTGCCTGGGGAATCAAATTATTATTATTATTTTTAATAGCAATGAAGAAACTATCTTTTCACCCACAGTCTCTGAGAAACTATTTTATTTTTATCTAGCATTATATATATAAGTTATAATCTTTCAATAATCCTTTACAAAAATCTCTATAAGATAATGCAAAATGGTATGATTTCCAGTTCATTTAGAAAACATTACTTTTTAAAAAATCTATAAAGAAAATAAACGTACTTCTGAATTCGATGTTTCCTGCATATAAATGCAAAAATTCTTCTGATTCCCACCATCACAGGATCCCAATTATTATAGTGACACAGGAGAGTTACAATAAAAAATGAAAAAAATACAGGGACAGCACCTGCAAAAAATAACCAAGAAAACTGCACCTAAAAATAAAAGGAGAAAAAAAATTACACATTTATTATCATTAAAACAATTTTCCCCTTTAATATAAAAGTTTCCATTTGTATTAAAACACCAAGGATACTAAGCATTTGCAATATGTTAAGTATATTATTAAATATAAAGATTCAGGACTTCAATTTACAATTAAATCCACTTGCCTCAAATTACCAACAGCAATAATTCTTGCTTGGAGAATAGCTTACATCAAGAAGGCATGCTTTTCAATTGCTAGGTACAGTACAACCAAGAGCAGAAATATCCACGACGAAACTTAAGCTTCTATCTTACACACCATTTTGTCCATCTCTTCATTACTGTTTGTTGCTTATTCTCAAGTTGATCTCTCCCCTGCAGTTTCTGAAGTCACCTTCAAAAACTCATTCACATTTTATAAAATGGTTGTTATAGTTGTGATAGGTTGTCTTATTTTATAGTTCCTTTTTTAAGATGATACTAAAAACAAATGAAACTCTTAAAGTGCAATTTTTGCAAAACTTTTATTAACAGTTTGCAACAAATTCTAATCCTGGCAGGCAAAACCAGCTTGATTATTATCTAGTAACAAATGAAAAAAAGTCCAAAACAAAATAATGACTAGGTAAAACAACAAATATAACAGAAATATTTTTACTAAGAAAATGTGAGAGAAGACAACAAGCAAGTCAAGCCTCAGACATGAAGAATAGCTACATGTCATCAAGTCTGATCCTTTAACTCATCATTTTATGGGGTTTACCAAGAAAATTAAAAATAATGAGATGCCATAAAGTTGCCAAAAGGAAGTCATTCTTCCCTTTCATTAGTTTACTTTTACCATCTAGAACCAACTAAGAATCAAAAATAATTGTCTGGATAAAGCTTCAGGATGTTCTTTTAGGCAATGGATTCTTAGATATGACACCAAAAGCAAAAGCAACAAGAGGAGAAAGATAAACTGCACTTCATTAAAATTAAAGACTTCTGTACATCAAGAGACATCATTAAGTAAGACAAACTACAAAATGGGAGAAAATATTTGGAAACCATATATTAGACATATGTTTCAAACAGAACAAGTTTTGAACAGAACAAGTGGATACTGCGTAGTTTAAAGTCTGGAAAGGTGTGCGTCAGGGTTGGATGCTTTCAGTATACTTATTCAATCTGTATGCTGAGCAAATAATCTGAGAAGACTGACTATATGAAGCAGATTGGGGCATCAGGATTGGAGGAAGGCTTATTAACAACCTGTATTATGCAGATGACACAACTTTGCTTGCTGAAAATGAAGAGGACTTGAAGCACTCACTGATGAAGATCAAAGACCACAGCATTCAGTATAGATTACACCTCAACATAAAGAAAACAAAAATCCTCACAACTGAACCAATAAGCAACATCACGATAAATGGAGAAAAGGCTGAAGGGTCAAGGATTTCATTTTACTTGGATCCATGATCGACACCCACGGAAGCAGCAGTCAGGAAAACAAATAATGCATTGCATTGGGCAAATCTGCTGCAAAAGACCTGTTTCAACTGTTAAAAAGCAAATATGTCACTTTAAGGACTAAGGTGTGCATGACCCAAGCCATGATGTGTTCAGTCGCCTCATATGCATGCAAAAGCTGGACAATGAATAAGGAAGACTGAAGAAGAATTGATGCCTTTGAATTATGGTGTTGGTAAAGAATATTAACTATACCATGGACTGCCAAAAGAACGAACTAATCTGTCTTGGAAGAGGTACAGCCAGAATGCTCTTTAGAGACAAGGATGGTGAGACTATGTCTCACATACTTTGGACATGTTATCAGGAGGGATCAGCCCCTAGAGAGGGACATCATGCTTGGTAAAGTAGAGGGTCAGCGAAAAAGAGGAAGACTCTCTTCACAGGATGGATTGACACAGTGACTCCAACAATGGGCTCAAGCATAACACTGATTGTGAGGATGGCCCAGGACCAGGCAGTTGTTTTGTTCCGTTGTATGTAGGGTTGCTATGAGTTGGAGCTGACTCGACGGCACCTAACAACAACAACATATCACATAAGGGTTTAATATCCAGAATATATAAAGAACTCTTAAAATTCAACAACAAAAAGACTAACAACCTGGGAGGATGGCAGCGTAAACAGACGATTGTTCCAATCCTTCCCTACAAATACAACAAGAAATATAACAAGGGAACGGTGCTTGGCTTTGAGGGACTGTGAATTGGGGAGCAGAGGAAAGCAGCAGGGAACTGCAGACAGGCAAGAATCAACAAATCAATGAGTTGCATGCAGTAGGAAAATCGCTTCTCCTATAGTCCCTGCCCCTCCCCACAGACAAACGGGCTGCCAGTTGCTATGAACTGGGGAACTGGTCCCAGAAAAGCCTGCTTCCCTAACCACCACAGGCCTTGCCTGTACAAAGAGACAGGACCCCAAGATTCTGCTCTAAAGTCAACAAGGCAGACCTCCCCAGGGGTATGTTTGGAGTGTCCAGCACCTCCCCCACCCAGACACCGCTGGCTGCAAGCCTACTGCAAATTGCTACAGAAGGCCTGTGCCGTGGAGTCTGCTCTCATCATCAACACTCTACCTTGCCTCCCTATGCACCCCATAACTCAGGCCTCTGAAACTAACAGGACAGATCTCCTGGACAGTCAGTTGAGGTCTGTTTGCTCCCTCTTCTGGTTGGCACTGAGGACTGCTGACTGAGGCTGCTGTGCGCTAGCAAGCAGGCCATCTTTAGTGGAAGCTACACTCACAGTTAACATACTCCAAAGGGGTCTCTGATAGCAACAAGGCAGACCTCCCTGGGGGTCCATTTGGAGTGTGCCAGCACCTCCTCCACCCGGACACTACTGGCTGCAGGCTGCTGTGAAATGCTACAGAAAGCCCATGCTTTCTGCTCCCATAGTCAGCACTCTGCCTCTCCACGCACCCCATAGCTCTGGTCTCAAGAAAACAAACGGACAAACCTCCCTGGGGGTCAATTAGGGTTAATCTGACCCCACTTCCAGTTGACGCTGAGGACTGCTAACTGAGGCAGCTGTGTGCCAGAAAGTAGAAGGCTTGAGTGGAGGCTGTACTCACAGCCAACAATCTACTGGGGGGACTCTGCCGGCGACAAGGCAGACCTCCACAGGGATCTGACCAGAGCATGACACCCCTTCCTCTGCCTGGTACTTGCTGGGTTGCCAGGCTGTTGCAAACTGTTACAGAAGGTCCCCGCAGTGGAAGTCTGCTCCCACAGTCGGCACTCTACCTGCCTCCCTGTGCACCCCATAGCTCAGGCCTCTGAAATCAACAGGACAGATCTCTCTGGGGATCAGTTTAGATTTGTCTGTTCCCCCTTCCAGTCGGTGCTGAGGACTGCTGACTGAGGCTGCTGTATGCTAGGAAGTAGGTATCTTGAGTGGAGGCTACACCCAAAGCCAACATACTACAAGGGGGCTCTGACAGCAACACGGCAATCTACCTGGTGGTCCATTCAGAGTACGACTACCCCAACCCCAACCAGTAACTGTCTGCTGCTGGACTGAGAAGAAATCCTACATAAAGTTCCCAAAAGTGGGACTCAGGAGGTGGGTCACGTAAGTGGAGACTGCTCCCCCAACCACCACAGGGCCACTGGGGCTCTGAAACCAATTCAGATAGATCTCTCAGAGGTCCTTCTGGGGAATGCCAGCTCCTCCTCCTCCTGAAACAAAGGAAAGTCGGCCTATGCTTCCCCTGAATGCCAGCTGAGATAAAAGCAGCCCCTAGAGAGCGGGGAAGGAAGCCTTGGGCAAAACCGAAGGGCAACACCCAGCCCCGAAGGCGGCTCACTAGGCTCACTAGGCATGTGCTCAGGCGGAAACAGTGACAGTGACGGGAAGGGAATAATAATGAGAGAGGACTGCGCCCCCTGGTGGACAAGTAGATTAGTACAGAATTATTTCGACCTGAGTGGTGGTGCCTGCTGGTGGGCAGACTAGCCACAGTATGTTCTCTGGTGTGTTTGAGAGAGACTGTAAGTTGAAAACCGAGACCTGGAACCTTCAAATTCTAATTAAACCAGGGAGGGAGAAGGAGCTATCACAGAGAAGGAGAGAAAATGGTAAGCAAAGGCTGAAGGCTCTGTATGCCTAAGAGTTTTTTACAGAAAGTAGTGTGGGCAAAAACACCAAATATCGGGGGAAAATGAGAAAATTAACACCCTCGAAAATTCCAATGCCCCAACCAAAAAATCACAAGATGCACAAAGAACACAGAAACAATGGTCCATTCAAATGAACATGAGAACCGCCTTCTTTGCCATGAGACCAGAACTGGATGGTGTCCAGCTACCATTACTGAACATTTTGATGAAAGATTCCATAGAAGAAATCTAATCAAAAGGGGGAAAACGCAGAATAGAATTTCAAATTCTCATGGACACTAGACTTTCTGAAGCCATGGAGGGTGGATGAACCCCTGAAACTATCGCCCTGAGATAATCTTTTAAACCTTAAACCAAAAATATCCCCTGAAGTCTTCTTAAAATCAAACAGTTTAAACTTAACTAGTAAAAAGACCTGCTTTGAGCCCTGGTGGCACAGTGGTTAAGAGCTAAGGCTGCCAGCCGAAAAGGTCAGCAGTTTGAATCCGCCAGCTGCTCCTAGGGGGCAGTTCTACTCTGTCCTACAGCGTCGCTATGAGTTGGAATCGACTCCACGGTAATGGGTTTTGGTTGAGCATTAGGCTCTTTTAAGAACCATCTATATGGGATCGAACTGACAACAGCAACTTGAAAGATTACACAGGAACCTTAGGGGGCAGTGAATTTATGTTAGTGAGGGAGAAACAACTCAGAAAAGGAGGGTGAGAATGGCTGCCCAACTCGAAGGCTGTAATCAATGTCACTGAATGGTACGTACAGAAACTGTTGAATTGGTGTATGTTTTGCTGTGTATATTCTCAACAACAACAACAGCAAAAAAAAAAAGACTAACAACCCAATTTAAAAATGGGCAAAGGACTTGAATAGACATTTCTCCAAAGAAGATAAAGAAATAACCAATAAGCACGTGAAAAGATGCTCATTAGGGAAAAGGAAATGAAAACCACAATGAGATACCATTCCACTCCCACCAGGATGGCTATGATCAGAAAAATGGAAAACAAGTGTTTATGAGGATGTGGAAAATTGGAACACCGGGACACTGCTGGTGGGAATGTAAAATGCTGCAGCCACTGTGAAGAACAGTTTGGTGGTTCTTCAAAAAGTTAAACATAGAATTACCAAGTGATCTAGCAATTCCACTCCTAGGTATACATCCAAAAGAATTGAAAGCAGGAACTCAGATACTTATACATCAATGTTCACTGAAGCATTATTCATTATAGCCAAAAAGTGAAAATAATTTAAGTATCTATCAAGAGATGAATGAATAAACAAAATGTGTTATCTACATACAATCGAGTGTTATTCAGCTATAAAGAGAAACGAAGTTCTAATACAAGCCACCACCTGGATGAATCTTGAAACCATTATGCTGAGTGAAAAAAGCCAGACACAAAAGGACAAAAATTGTATGATCCCACTTATGTGAAATATATAGAATAGGTAAATCCATAAAGACAGAAGGTTAGTGGTTACCAGGGGACAGGGGAGTTAAAAAAAGGAAATCCATCATTTTAAGAGAAAGTATAGTATTAAAACAATTTGTACTGATTAAAAAAAAAAAAAAAGTTGTCAAAGAAGTCTGCACTGATTACCTTATGTGCAACACACTGGTGACGTACTTTAAAAAAAAATGATGAAGTACAAGTCAGACAAAGGTCTAATCTCCATAATCTACAAGAAAATCCAACACCTCTACAATAAAAAGACAAATAATCCTATTAAAAAATGGGCAAAGGAAATGAACAGACACTTCACCAAAAAAGACATTCAAACGGCCAACAGACACATGAGGAACTGCTCGGGATCACTAGCCATTAGAGAAATGCAAATTAAAAC